TCATGCCTTCCATTGTATACAGTTATGTTGTTAGCTGTGACTGGTCAAGGCAGTCACATGATACAGACAGGGCCAATCACAGCCCATCTGTATCATGTGATCAGCTTTTGCCCAATCACAGCTAATCACAACAAAATACTCTGGATCAACTATGGGTGTAGGATTGTAACTTTTTTTTTTATGGTTGAACTGGATGGAATTTTGTCTTTTTTCTAACCAGACTAACTATGTGACTATATGAAACAGTTTTTGATTCAATTGTCCATTTACTTTTGGTCCCTTGAAAAAGGGGGGATGCTTTGCTGGGGTTTTTGCCTTCCTCTGGATCAACTGTGGGTGTAGGATTAGAACTTTTTTTTTTAATAGTTGAACTGGATGGACTTTTGTCTTTTTTTCAGCCAGACTAACTATGGAACTGAATGAATCAGTTTCATTCAATAACAATGATTGCAAATATCAATGAAATACATTGTTATTAGCAATCAGAATGTGTTACAAAAACAAAATGCAGATCACTCGCCCAGAGTAGTTCAATGTTGCTATGGTAACATTGTATTGCTTTGGTCACAGTGTGCTGAAAAATAAAATAGTAAAAGAAAACAAATTAATAAAAAATAAAAAAAATAATAGAAACATTTGAAAAAAAATGCAAATTCAATTATTATTATTATTTTCACCAAAGAAATGTAGCAGAATACATGTTGACCTAAATTTATGAAGAAAATGTTATTTATTTGCAAAATTTTATAACAGAAACAAAGAAAAATGCAGTTTTTTTTTCAAAAGTGGTGATTAAATATCACCAAAAGAAAGCTGTGTGTGAAAAGAATTAGAAAGAAAAAATTACCTCTTTGCAAAATTTATAATAGAAATAAAGAAAAACGGGTTTTTTTTCAAACTTTTTGCTCCTTTTTTCTTTGTAGCGCAAAAAATAAAACCCTCAGCGGGGAGTAAATACCACCAAAAGAAAGCTCTATTTGTGTGAAAAAAATGATAAAAATGTCATATGGGTGCAGTGTTGCATGACCGCGCAATTGTCATTCAAAGTGCGACAGCGCTGAAAGCTGGAAATTGGCCTGGGGGGGAAGGGGGTGAAAGGTATTGAAGGGGTTAAACCATTCGACATAAGTCCAGCAAATGAAAAATGAAAATGGCGATGAAGTGCAAAGTCCTTATTGGTCCACCGAGATCACCACGTGGATAACATAACAATAATCGATTGAATAAAGTGCACTCAGATATCGCCGCGCGCTCCAGAGGGAAAACCTCCCCCCCCTCAGTGGCACTCACCAGATATCGTGGCCCATCCAAACCTGGTGCTGTGGACTTACTTCACTTGGTGGACTTCTGTCAAATGATTTAAATATTTGTGTATATTTTTTGAAGTGTTATATTTTGTATCATATTCTCACTTTGCTATTGTGGTTCACTTTTTTTCTTTTTTGCGCTGCTCTTGTTTGTCATTATTTCATCAGCTGATTATTGGATTATTCACTATTAGGGCAGCTGCATGTTTACATGTTTTATGTACTCATTTATTTATGTGAGTGATATATTGTGCACGTTCAGGTGTCAGGTTACATAGTTAGTCTGGCTGAAAAAAGACAAAAAGTCCATCCAGTTCAACTATTGAAAAAAAAAAGTTATAATCCTCCACCCACAGCTGATCCAGAGGAAGGCAAAAAATCCCAGCAAAGCACGATCCAATCTCCTCCTGCAGGGGAAACAATTCCTTCCTGATCCCCCGAGAGGCAATCGGATATTCCCTGGATCAATAATCGGATATTCCCTGGATCAACTTTACCTATAAAGGTCTTATATATTTTCACATCACACTTGCGCGGTTTATATATTAATTTTGAAAAATATACATATTTGAATATAATGAATACATATATATACAGTGGGGCAAAAAAGTATTTAGCCCCACCAATTGTACAAGTTCTCCCACTTACAGAGATGAGAGAGGCCTGTAATTGGCATCATAGGGAGACCTCAACTATGAGAGACAAAATGAGAAAACAAATCCAGACAATCTCATTGGCTGATCTGGAAAGAATTTATTTGCAAATTATGGTGGAAAATAAGTATTTGGTCACCTACAAACAAGCAAGATTTCTGGCTCTCACAGACCTGGACCTTCTTCTTTAAGAGGCTCCTCCTCCTGCACTCATTACCTGTATCAATGGCACCTGTTTGAACTTGTTATCAGTATAAAAGACACCTGTCCACAACCTCAAACAGTCACACTCCAAACTCCACTATGGGGAAGACCAAAGAGCTGTCGAAGGACACCAGAAACAAAATGGTAGACCTGCACCAGGCTGGGAAGACTGAATCTGCAATAGGCAAGCAGCTTGGTGTGAACAAATCAACTGTGGGAGCGATAATTAGAAAATGGAAGACATACAAGACCACTGATAATCTCCCTCCATCTGGGGCTCCACGCAAGATCTCACCCCGTGGGGTCAAAATGATCACAAGAACGGTGAGCAAAAATCCCAGGACCACACGGGGGGACCTAGTGAATGACCTGCAGAGAGCTGGGACCAACGTAACAAAGGCTACCATCAGTAACACACTACGCCGCCAGGGACTCAGATCCTGCAGTGCCAGACGTGTCCCCCTGCTGAAGCCAGTACATGTCCGGGGCCCGTCTGAGGTTTGCTAGAGAGCATTTGGATGATCCAGAAGAGGATTGGGAGAATGTCATATGGTCAGATGAAACCAAAATAGAACTGTTTGGTAGAAACACAACTCGTCGTGTTTGGAGGAGAGAGAATGCTGAGTTGCATCCAAAGAACACCATACCTACTGTGAAGCATGGGGGTGGCAACATCATGCTTTGGGGCTGTTTCTCCACAAAGGGACCAGGATGACTGATCCATGTACAGGACAGAATGAATGGGGCCAAGTATCGTGAGATTTTGAGTGCAAACCTCCTTCCATCAGCAAGGGCATTGAAGATGAAACGTGGCTGGGTCTTCCAACATGACAATGATCCCAAACATACCGCCCGGGCAACGAAGGAGTGGCTTCGTAAGAAGCATTTCAAGGTCCTGGAGTGGCCTAGCAGTCTCCAGATCTCAACCCATAGAAAACCTTTGGAGGGAGTTGAAAGTCCGTGTTGCCCAGCGACAGCCCCAAAACATCACTGCTCTAGAGGAGATCTGCATGGAGGAGGAGATCTGCATGGAGGATGGGCCAACATACCAGCAACAGTGTGTGCCAACCTTGTGAGGACTTCAGGAAACGTCTGACCTCTGTCATTGCCAACAAAGGATATATAACAAAGTATTGACATGAACTTTTCATATTCACCAAATACTTATTTTTCCACCATAATTTGCAAATAAATTCTTTCCAGATCAGCCAATGAGATTGTCTGGATTTGTTTTCTCATTTTGTCTCTCATAGTTGAGGTCTCCCTATGATGCCAATTACAGGCCTCTCTCATCTCTGTAAGTGGGAGAACTTGCACAATTGGTGGCGGACTAAATACTTTTTTGCCCCACTGTATATATATACACAGTTGAGTTCAAAATAATAGCCGTCAGACATCACTAACCGGATCAATCGCTGTTTTTGGTGGAAATGATATTTCTACATGGCAAATAATTTCCCAGCAGGTGTAGTAGAGTCATAGAAATCCAACAGACCCCGACAGTCATGACATGCATGCTGCTGATTCTGTGTCATTGAATCACTCATTGAAAGGGGCGTGTTCACAATAATAGCCGTGTGGAGTTGTGTGGATGGAAATAAAAGCTATTAGAAGGATTTTCAGCTTTATTCACTTTTTTCAACACACTGATATTATTTTGAACACAACTATATATATATAGGTCTTATATATGTTCACATCACACTTGCGCGGTTTATTATATATTGATTTTGAAAAATCTATATATTTGAATATAATGAATATAAATATAAACATTTAGAGTATAAACGTTCAGCCTCTTCTGAATCCTATATGTCTAAACAAATAAGAAAACAATGGCAGACTGGAGACAGAACTTTCCTGCCTGATATACGAGAACAGTTTTATGCAGATGATGCCTCGCCATGTTTGAGGTTCATAAAGGTCACCGCTCATGGACCAATGAGGGTGCAGGATTAAGATCTGGTCAAAGAAGAGTCTGCAAATCTTTCGGAAGTCCTCGCGGCTCGCTGGTCACTCCTCCCAAAGTGCGGAAGAAAAATCGGATTATGTTAGCTGTAGAGTACGGAGAAAATGTTTATGCCGTGGAAAGTGTCTGATAAGAGGAAAATTACCCGCCGAGCTCCGCGTGTCGCCATTACAGCACATTTGCGGCTTATAATAATCAGACAGCATCCACTTTACTTCTCAGCCGAGGAAAAGAAAGCACACTCTGTACGCCTGGGTGCTGCCCGATATCACAGATATCATGGGACTGTATCATTCATATCCAGACGTCTAATGCCCAAATTGTTGCTTTGAACTTTTATGGATGAGACCTTCAGTCTGGTCTGGTAACTGATAGGGCCAAGGTGGGGGCTGGAGCAGTTATCCTACAAATGGGGAATGAAGAGCAAAGAACAAATGCAGATACCCTTACCATCCAATCAGAATTCACTCCACTGAATCCAGTCCAGGGACAGATTGGTTGCTGTAAGGAATCACTGAAATTTGTTGAAAGTTAGTCCCAACATCTTCAATTTACGATCTATGATACCATGTGAAGAGATGTGTTTTCATTCACTCCCTTGGCATTATGCAGGTGTTTTCCATCTCAAATCTCATAGCCATTCTATATGGCCAATTCAGTGTCACCTCCAGACCTTCTGCCACCCTCCAGGCAGCTTCAACTCCTTCAACAACAAACTGAGCTCATCCCTTCACTGGCCTCCATCAGTGTCCATCCACCCCTCTCTAACAAGATCCCTAATGGCAACCATCAGTGTCTCCTCCCCTCATCTGTCAATCACAAGGCTAACCTCAGTTCAATGACCTCCCCCCTTTCAGCCCCAATCCCTCCACTGACCTCCACTCAGTGTCCTCTACCCTCTCTGACAATCCCTCCACTGACCTCTATTTTAACCATTGTCCTCCACCTCTCTCTGCCAATCCCTCCACTGGCCTCCATTCAGTGTCCTCCACCCCTCTCTGCCAATCCCTCCACTGGCCTCCATTCAGTGTCCTCCACCCCTCTCTGCCAATCCCTCCACTGGCTTCCATTCAGTGTCCTCCACCCCTCTCTGCAAATCCCTCCACTGGTTTCCATTCAGTGTCCTCCACTCCCTCTGCCAATCCCTTCCACTGGCCTCATTCAGTGTCCTCCACCCGTCTCTGCAAATCCCTCAACTGGTTTCCATTCAGTGTCCTCCACCCCTCTCTGCCAATCCCTCCACTGTCCTCCATTCAGTGTCCTCCACCCCTCTCTGCCAATCCCTCCACTGGCCTCCATTCAATGTCCTTCACCCCTCTCTGCCAATCCCTCCACTGACCTCTATTCAGTGTCCTCCACCCCTCTCTGCCAATCCCTCCACTGGTTTCCATTCAGTGTCCTCCACCCCGAATATCAGGAATTGGGATACAAACTGCTCACCCGATGGTATAGGGTTCCGGTCACTTTACATCAGATCTATCCAGAGGCAACGAAGGTCTGCTGGCTTTGTAAGAAAGGCTTCCATTCATTCCTCATATCCCTTTGCCAGAAAGCTAGTCAATTTGGCGTCCAAGTTAGAGAGACTATCAAAAGCTGACAAATTTTGACCTCCAGGAAGACCCCCAAATATCAGTGTCCTCCACCCCTCTCTGCCAATACCTCCACTGATCTCCTGCTTCAGTGCTCAGGCTTGCCACCCCTCTCTGCCAGGATCCCCCATGGTCTCCATGTGTCCTCCACCCCTCTCTGCCGAAATCCACTCAATGGAAAGTATCATGGCTGCCATTCAGTGTCCTCCACCCCTTCCACCACAGGTGGGTCCACTGGTCCCTTTTTACTTGTTCTAGTGATTACACTGTCCACTCCACAGGTAAAAAGTTTTGGGCATAAAATTAGCTAATCTTACATAATTTTGGGGTGCTGAAAACGAAAATGACCTCCAAAAAATGTTGAGTGGCTCTAGTTTCCATGATATATTCACCCATCTCTGCCGTAATCCCTTCAAAATTATGTCTCCACTTCAGCTGCATATTCCACAATTGATACTCTGCCAATCCCCCATACTGGATGATCCATATTAGTGTCCTCCACCCCTCTCTGCCAAAAGCTGCACTGGCTCCATTCAGAGTCCTCCACACCTCTCTGCCAATCCCTCCACTGGCTCCACTCAGTGTCCTCCAACTTCTCTGCCAATCCCTCCACCGGCCTGCATTCAATGCTATATCCTGAAATAACCCCTCTCTCACAAAAAAGGAGGATAACTGGAATGATTAAGTGCCTACACCCTGTATTTTGGCTGCAAGATAGGAGACCAGGACAAGAGCTGGGCACCACATATATGCCAATCCCTCCACCGGCCTGCAATTCTTGTGGGACGGCACTGGAGCAATGGTTGAATGAAAAAAAAAAGGCATCTATGCCTTTCGCTGTGCACTTTTGGATCAGATCCATCAGAGGCAACGGAATTGTTACTTTTGTATGGTGTTGTAAGAAAGGGGATGAAAAAGTTATCTGTGCCTATCAAATATTCCATTGGTCCTGTAGAGAAAGCTAGTCCAATTTTGGGTGACAAGTGAGGAGAGACTGTATCAAAGCTTGACAGATTTTGACCTAGAGGAAGACCAGACTAATATCTAGTGCTTCAAACTGAGACCTCTCGAGGAAACGATTACAAGAACAACCTTATTGATACTTGGTAATCCTATGCTGAATGCCATTTAGGCTTTGTAACAGGTACCATATCACTTGCTTTATAGGAGACTCTGGAAAGACATCTATCTCCATAATGGTGAATAGGATTGTACAAATCCACTAATGGAAAAATTTCATGGTGAAATTCGCGGAAAGAAGACAAGTTCCACCACAGTTATATTTGTGGGTCCACTGGGATCCCTTTTTACTTGTAAAAATTTTAGGGATTATGAGTCCCTGACACACTCAGTGGTTTGAAGTCCCTCCCCCCCCCCCCCCGTACTTCTGCTTTTCATTCTTCTCTTTCTTTCTTCATCCTCTTTTATCTGTTTCTCTTTTTGTGTACATGCAGGAAGGATGCCGATCTCATTTTGTATAGTTACCATACAGCCGAGGTTCTCGGCTTAATATTTGACACAAGATAGTTTTGTCGTGACGATTGCTTTATTATGCGATTTGAATGTACTTAGGTCGACTCCCGTCTAGGTGGCATTCCTGTCAGGAATGGACTTGCCAATAATGGTGGGACTCACCTGCCTTGTGGGCTGCAGTACCAGGGCTGGCCAGCGGGTGCTCTAAGCAATCAGAGACTCACCCCTGCAGTCAGCCAAACACCTGAAGCTGATTGCAGGGGTTGTATTTAAGGAATGGCCGGACTCACAGTCAGGGCCTTGGTGTGTGTTTTTTTCCATGGGCCCCTGTATCTTATATCCTGTATTCCTGTTTCTGCCTGACTTGTTGCCCACCCTGCCTGATCCTGACCTCTGCTGACTTCTCCTGCTTGATCCTTGGCTTGTGACCCTGACCATTCTCTGCCCGACCCTCTGTACCGCGCTGCCCGTGAGTTACTGAACCCAGCTTGTGACCCCGACCACTTTCCCGCCTGTTCCTGGTACTCCGTTTGCCCGTTTGCTACTGACCCGGCCTGCCTGACGACTCTTGCATTGTATGTATTGTTGTCTGTAGGTGGTTTGGTTTGTTTGCACTGTGTTTATGTTTAGTTTTGCACTGCGTTTTGTATTGTTAGTCTTAATAAATCATATTGTTTATACCATATCTGAAGCCTGCGTTTCCCTGTGTCAGTCCACACACCTCTGCTCATACCTGGAGTCCTGACATTTCCTCTGCTTCTACACCTAACGAAAACTTATGTTATAAATAAAGAATGTTAAAAAAAAAAAAGAACAACGTTAAGTGGATGTTTCTTATTTATTCTTTTCTCTGCCATGGAAGGAAAGAGTCTACACTTGTCAGCCTAGAAGAACTTTCAAAAAACAAAATCCATATCATGGATAGAGAAGATTAGGCAATAAACTGATAAAACAAAAAATGAGGCAGAGAAGAACGAGAAAGCAAAGAAAAAGGTGAATGGGTTGAGAGAGGAAGAGGTAGACTCATTCTCACATCAAGCACCCAACGTGATGGTCACAGCCTATCCCACCATCACTCCGAAGAAGTGATGAATACTCGGGAGTGGTCTTGTATTCATTCCAACATGCCCATGTCTTGTGAAACTGGGGAAATTCTGTCGTAAATGTAAATTAGTTCCTCAAGTTCTGTGATCTTTTCAAGACGAGCAAATAACATTTGCCTACAGTGGGGGGTTTAGGTGATCTCCAAACTGGTCGGTAGGCAAAGGCAGGCTACGTTCACCATATGCATGGCCCCCCCCCCCCCCCCCCCCAAAGGATTTCCAGTATGGACAGCTTGGGCAGGTCTAGTGTGGTGCAAAAGAAATTGTGCAGGGGGAACGTCTATAGGCAGGCTAGACACAAAGTGATAAGAGATGGACTGATGTCCAAACGCGGTGTACAGCTGGACAGTTTCCACCATATGGGAGCAAAGTTCCTGTTTCAGATTGGCATCTCCAGCAAGTGTTTGGACCGTTGGAAAGAAAGTTTTATTATTATTATTATACAGGATTTATAAATGGCGCCAACAGTTTGCGCAGCGCTGTACAAAATGAAGGCAGACATTACAGTTACAATACAATTTGGTACAAAAGGAAACAGAAGGGCCCTGATTCCTGGAGCTTACAATCTAGGAGGGAGGGTTTGAGTGATACAAAAGGTAATTGCTGTTGGGGGAGGAGCTGATGGAGGAAATAAATGGCAGTTTACTAGGTAGAAGTAGGAATTCGCTTCTTTTAAGAGAAAGGTTTTCAGGGATCGTCTAAAGGTGGATAGATTAGGAGACAGCTGGGACAGATTGGGGTAGAGAGTTCCATAGGATGGGAGAAGTTTGGGAGAAGTCCTGGAGGCGAGCATGGGAGGAGGTGACAAGGGAACTAGAGAGCAGAAGGTCTTGGGAGGATTGAAGAGAGCGGTTTGGTTGATATTTTGAGACCAGGTTGGTGATGTAGCCTAGGTGAGCCAAGTTGTGGATGGCTTTGTAAGTTGTTGTTATTATTTGTGAATTTTATTTGTTGAGCGAGTGGAAGCCTGTGGAGGGATTGCAAGAGAGGGGTGGAGGACACTGTGTGGAGGTCAGTGTGAGGATTGGCAGAGAGGGGTGTGAAGACACTAATTGGAGGCCAGTGGAGGGATTGGCAAGAGGGAAAGGGTGGAAGACACCGATTGGAGGCCAGTGGAGGATTGTCAAGAGAGGGGTGGAGGACACTGATTGGAGGTCAGTGGAGGGATTGGCAGAGAGGGGGTGGAAGACACTGATTGGAGGCCAGTGGAGGGATTGGCAGAGAGGGGTGGAGGACACTGAATGGAGGCCAGTGGAGGGATTGCAGAGAGGGGTGGAGGACACTGAGTGGAGGGATTGGCAGAGAGGGGTGGAGGGACACTGAGTGGAGGTCAGTGGAGGGAATTGGCAGAGATGGGTGGGCAAGACACTAATGGAGGCCCAGTGGAGGGATTGGCAGAGAGGGGTGGAAGACACCGATTGGAGGCCAGTGGAGGGGATTGTCATGAGAGGGGTGGAGGACCACTGATTGGAGGTCAGTGGAGTGGATTGGCAGAGAGGGGTGGAAGACACTGATTGGAGGCCATGGAGGATTGGCAGAGAGGGTGGAGGACACTGACATGGAGGCCAAGTGGAGGGATTGGCAGAGAGGGGTGGAGGACACTGAGTGGAGGATTGGCAGAGAGGGGGGAAGGGAACACTGAGTGGAGGTCAGTGGAGGGATTGGCAGAGATGGGTGGATAGAACAGACCTAACAATGGAGGCCAGTGGAGGGATTGGCAGAGAGGGGTGGAAGACCACCGATTGGAGGCCAGTGGAGGGATTGTCCCAGAGAGGGGTGGAGGGACACTGATTGGAGGTCAGTGAGAGGGATTGGCCTCGAGGGGGGGGGTGGAAGACACTGATTGGTGGCCAGTGGAGGATTGGCAAGAGAGGGGTGGAGGACACTGATTGGAGGTCAGTGGAGGATTGCAGAGAGGTGGGAGGACACTGAATGGAGGCCAGTGGAGGATTGCAGAGGAGGGGTATGGAGGAACACTGAGTGGAGGCCAGTGGAGGGATTGGCAGAGAGGGTAGCAGACAACTGAATAGGTGGCAAGGTGGATTAGCCTGGCAGGAGTATTCATGAAGGACTGGAGGGA